GACAGCTTCCCTGAAGTGCTGTCTGAGTTCACTGACTACACACAAGACAAGGAGTACAATGACAACCTGACCTTCTACTTAGTGTCGGCTTTGGCTGTAGTTTCCTTCCTCTTCATCACGTGTGTAGTGGTTATTATATCGGTGAAGATCTACAGATGGAGACAGTCTCGCGTCCTGTATCACTCCAATCTCCCTGTGATTCCGTATTATCCACCACGTTACTCAGACACTCTGGGGACAGGGACTCTCCCACACGTGTACAACTACGAGGTGTGCAGGACGAATGACTCCAGAAAGAGTGACTGTAAGTTCGGCACAGTCGGTAGTCAGAACGTGCTGATAATGGACCCCAGTTCTACAGGAACGATGCAGCGGATACAGAATGAGAAGAACATCCTGGATGAACCAGACTCTCCTCTAGAGGTTGGATATATCTTTTTAAGAAGTATCATGGATATGCTTTTCATTGTTGAGAAAAACTGGTTTTCAGTTCAAACACAAACCAGAAAAACATTCATATGCTGTAGTTGTCCATGACTTCACCTTATTTCACTTTTTGTCAACTGAAACTCTAGTGACATTTTGAGAATGTTTCCTTATTGTGAAGTAGACATTTAATAACAATCCCCGTCAGCAATCATTTTGCAAAACCAAAATGAACCCACCTCACAAGATTGTTTACTCTAACAGTGAACCAAGATTTCCCATGTCATTTCATGCCTGTCAGCACCATGGATAGAGCATTACCCACTTTAAATTTTTTTTGTTACATTTTTGTTATATTTTATCATGTTTTCATTTAGCAGCTCAGTGGGCGGGAGAGACAGTGTTTGTGTGTATTTCCTTAATATACACAGGGATATCTTTATTATTGTTTTTATAATTAACACATCAACATCATCGACATCTTCAAAATATTTGAAATATATATTTTCTTAACCCCTTAAAAATGCTTATTTCCTGTATAATGTGTAGACTGTTGCTTCCAACTCACGGGGACGCTGTTGACCAGGTTGCTGAGTTCAAGAGCTCATTGCAGCAGAACCACCCCCATCATTTTGAAATGCGGAGAAACGGAGACAAAAAAAAGAATTAAAAGGCACGTTCTAGAGGAGGGAGATGATCGAACGCGGAGATACCCGTCGTGTTATCAACATGGTTGGGAGCTTCAATTCTGGATTATTTTAATGACATTTGTGTTCATAATCCTTTCACTGGATACCGTATTTGATTATTTTTTTCGGATTGCAACATTTTGGACAGAGCAATGACACGGGACGCTGGATCGCTGCTGTTCATTGCCGTTTTCGCTCTCAACTCGGTTATCGGGCAGGTTACCTACTCTATTCCAGAGGAGATTGCAAAGGGGTCGCTGGTTGGCAACATTGCACACGATTTAGGTTTAGATGTAAAGCGACTAAAATCAGGGAAAGGTCGTATATATAACGGAGAAAGTACGGAATACATCGAGCTTAATAAAGAACAGGGAGTCCTTGTCATCAAAGAGAGAATAGACAGAGAGACGCTCTGCGGTCAGACGACGCCCTGTGCTCTTGATTTTCAGATCATTTTGGAGAATCCTATGCAATTTTACGGCATCACAGTTGAGGTCACTGATATAAACGATAATTCCCCTGGTTTTAAGAACAAAGAAATGAAATTCGAAATCAGTGAAACAGTTCAAATTGGGTCGAAATTTGTCTTAGACAAAGCTGTTGACGTCGATGTGGGTATTAATGGACTGCGGGGTTATTCACTAAGTTCAAGCGACACATTCACTTTAAACCCGTACAGAATTGGCAGCAGGACTGTTGAGATGGTTTTGAAGAAGCACCTAGACCGAGAGAAGCAGGAGCAGTTATTTTTAGTGTTGACTGCCTTAGATGGTGGCGAACCGCAGCTCTCCGGAACAATGCAAATTACGATTAATGTTTTGGACGCAAATGATAATGCACCCGTTTGTCTTCGACCAGAGTATAAGACTAACGTCAAAGAAGACGCATTGAAAGGAGCTGTTCTTACCGTGGTAAGCGCATCTGATGCAGATGGTGGTCAGCATGGGCACATAGAATATTCCATTTCTAATGTTCCAGATGATGCAGTTGAATTATTTTATGTTGATAAAGAAACTGGTGTTGTAACGTTAACGGGACAACTTGATTATGAGAAATTTCGGCATTATGAGATAGACGTCCAAGCATCAGATAAAGGTGGTAACTCAGACGTGTGTAAAGTTATAATTGAGGTCTTGGACACCAACGATAACCCACCAGCTATTAATATTATGTCTACGTCATCGACTATATCTGAGGATGTGAAGCCGGGCACTGTTCTGACAATGATGAATGTTCAGGATCCAGATTCAGATGAAAATGGAAAAGTCAACTGCGTTTTGAATGAAAATACTAATTTTAAAATTACATCAACGTCAAATAATGTCTTTACTCTAAAGACGGAAGATAAATTAGACAGAGAGATCACATCTCAACATAATATCTCGGTGACCTGCTCTGATGAAGGAGTCCCCTCCCTCTCCAGCAGCGTCACTCTCACCTTACAGATCTCCGATGTAAATGATAACGCGCCTGTCTTTGAGAGAAGCTCATATGAGGCTTATATTGTAGAAAACAACACACCGGGACTCTCTATATTCACAGTGAAAGCCAGAGACGCTGACTGGAACCAGAACGCCCGTGTTTCTTACATACTGGACGACTCCTCCGTTAACGGAGTGCCAGTCTCCTCGTATGTGTCCGTTAGTGCTGATAGTGGAGTCATCCATGCAGTGCGCTCTTTTGACTACGAGCAGATCAAAGATTTCCACTTCCGCGTCAAAGCGCAGGATGGAGGCTCCCCTCCACTCAGTAGCAACGTGACTGTGAAAGTAATGATCCAGGACCAGAACGACAACCCTCCTCAGGTTCTGTACCCGGTGCAGACTGGAGGCTCTCTGGTGGCTGAGATGGTTCCTCGTTCAGCAGATGTGGGCTATCTGGTCACTAAAGTGGTGGCTGTTGACGTGGACTCTGGACAGAACGCCTGGCTCTCCTATAAACTACAGAAAGCCACAGACAGGGCGCTGTTTGAAGTGGGCTTACAGAATGGAGAAATAAGAACTATCCGCGGAGTCACTGATAAAGATGCTGTGAAACAAAGACTGACTGTGATAGTGGAGGACAACGGGCAGCCCTCTCGTTCAGCTACAGTCATTGTTAACGTGGCGGTGGCGGACAGCTTCCCTGAAGTGCTGTCTGAGTTCACTGACTACACACAAGACAAGGAGTACAATGACAACCTGACCTTCTACTTAGTGTTGGCTTTGGCTGTAGTTTCCTTCCTCTTCATCACGTGTTTAGTGGTTATTATATCGGTGAAGATCTACAGATGGAGACAGTCCCGCGTCCTGTGTCACTCCAATCTCCCTGTGATTCCGTATTATCCACCACGTTACTCAGACACTCTGGGGACAGGGACTCTCCCACACGTGTACAACTACGAGGTGTGCAGGACGAATGACTCCAGAAAGAGTGACTATAAGTTCGGCACAGTCGGTAGTCAGAACGTGCTGATAATGGACCCCAGTTCTACAGGAACGATGCAGCGGATACAGAATGAGAAGAACATCCTGGATGAACCAGACTCTCCTCTAGAGGTGAGGTCTTTTATATGTTGAACTTCACATTTGATCACGTAGGTGCTTTTTTGTTGGTGTTAAAAAAATAAGGTTGCCTTTTAGTCTCAAGTGTCTGTTAACACATGACTTTTTAAACACACACAACTTGAATATTTCAAGTCACAGGAGTTATGATTTTGATCATGATTCAGTGGAGGCACAGCGCTCATTTTTCCATATATAAAGAGAAGAACAAGACATAATAACATGCACTTCTCCCACAATTTATTACAAACAAAGACTGTAACATCAAGGGAATACTTTATTTAACTTACTTTGTTTTTTAAATGAATTGTACACAGAAGGCGTTTGCTCTCATATATTATTAAATTTCGAGTGGCGTTTGAGAAAATCTCCTCGCAAAAAGGGGCGTTTGAATTGTGGTTGGTTGTTGCCGTTTCTGCTGTTCTTTCCTTGTCTCAATCACATCGTGTGCCGCCATATCACAGAGATTAAAGTTACGTAACTTATTGGTAGCATTGTTCAAGACATTGGTTTGGATGTGCAAAAGCTGAGTTCTGGTCGTGCCCGTATTTTGACTAAACAAAGACACACTTATACTGCTGTCCGGTGGTAATTTGAGTCACTGTCCTCGGTGTTGAAACGGTCAACGCAATCGTTTTGAAGTAGCTTTCTTAACAAGTTTCAAATGGAGGCCAACTAGGGGAACAAGAAATAAAACACCTACCGTAATCTTACTTTTTTAAATGCATAATGCCCCATATATTAAAGTTAATTTCAACATTTTTGTTAATCATCATACGGATGAGGGGGGTATTTTCTTTTCAGTTGTATTCACGTCAGTTTTTTTCTGTCTCCCTCTCATTGATTAAATTAAATATATAATATTATTTTTCAACCAAAATCATCTTTAATGCTGAAAAAAAGTACAATTTTGACAAAAAAAAAGAATAATTTAAAAGCTGACAATACACTCCCCCAAAAAACTTTCTGCAACCAGTAATGATTATTTTTCCACTGGTACATTATTGTAATCTCAACGAAAATCCTATCAAATCGATAACGTTTTAGGAATACGTTAAAAGGCTTTCCTAGTATTTTCGTTGTATTTTTTAATCTCATCTAAAAAAAAAACATGTGCTTCTTTATATTGATCTGAATTTAAATGTTTCCTGCAAGAACTGAATTCATTAAAATAGTTTAAATTGAATATTTGAAGCGATATTAATATTCTAGACTTCGATTCCATTTCCTCGGACGGGCTCTGAGCGCCGCTGTTGATACATCACTGACTAACAGTGTAAGCAGAGCAGCAGTCCACCCCTTTCAATCCGTTCAATGTTTCACTGCTCAGTGAAGACACGGTCAGTCTCCTGAAGTGTTGTAACGAAGCATTTGTCGAGGATTTTCTCTCCTGATGATATCGTTTCCTTTTTTTCAACAACGATCATCTTTGGATGGAAAAGGATTACGGTTCATCTTCGGTTGGATTCATGATGGGTTTTATTAGGAAAACCGATCTTAGAGGCCGAGGACAAGCACTGTTTGTCATTCTTTGTCTTTTTAAGCTGAGCTCAGTGACTGGACAGGCTCGCTATTCCGTGCCAGAGGAACAGGCAGAGGGATCTTTCGTTGGAAACATCGCTAGAGATCTAGGGTTGGATGTTGCGAGGCTTAAATCAGGTAAAGCTCGGATTATTACAAAGGAGAATCGACAGTACGTTGATTTAAACCGGGACAAAGGCACCCTCGTGATTAAAGAGCGAATCGACCGAGAAGAGCTGTGTGGAAAAACGACGCCCTGTAGCTTCAGTTTCGAAGTAATTTTAGAAAATCCAATCCAGCTTTATCGGGTCACCGTGGAGGTAATAGACGTGAACGATAACAGCCCGTCGTTCCCAAAGGATGAAACAAGTTTGAATATTGTTGAAAATGCCCCAGCTGGGACTCGGTTCTTAATAGAGAGTGCATTTGATCCTGACGTTAGAATTAATGACATTACAAAATACATCCTCAAACCCGTGGATCATTTTAAATTAGAAGTTCAAAACCAGCCTGATGGAGGGAAAGCCATCGAAATGGTTTTGCAAAACCCGTTAGACCGAGAAAAAGAGGAGACTCACACACTCGTGCTGATTGCATCAGATGGAGGAGAACCACACAGATCAGGGACAGTACGCATTCATATCACTGTGCTCGATATCAACGATAATGCGCCAGTTTGTAGTCAGCCGGTTTATAAAGCAGAAGTCAAGGAGAACTCTCCAGAAGGAACAGTAGTAACCACTGTGAGTGCCAATGACGCAGATACAGGAGTCAATGGTGAAGTAACATTTTCCATAGCACATGTGACCAGAGAAGTGAAGCTGCTTTTTGAAGTAAATGTCAAAACTGGAGAGATTAAAGTTGCAGGTAAACTAGATTTTGAAAAATCTAACACATATCAACTGAACGTTAAGGCTAGCGACCAAGGAGGATATTCGGATATGTGCAAAGTTATAATTCAAATAATTGATGAGAATGATAACGTCCCTACAATACAGCTGATGTCATTTGCGATCTCGATATCTGAGGACTCTCCTCTAGGTACAACTATTGCTGTTATTAATGTGGATGACGTTGACTCTGATGGTAACGGTGTTGTCAAATGCTCCATTGACTCTGACATGCCTTTCAAAATTGAGTCTTCATTAACAGGATATTATACTATAGTAACCGATAACGTCCTAGACCGAGAAATTATCCCTGAGTACAACATCACTGTAACGGTCTCTGACCAAGGCTCCCCTCCTCTGACTAGCAGGAAACAAATCAATGTGAAAGTGTCTGATGTGAATGACAACCCTCCTGAATTTGACCTTTCAGAATACAGTAAGACTTTACCAGAGAACAACTCTCCTGGCTTTTCTGTGTTCACTCTCAGTGCTCGTGATGCAGACTCGGGCCAAAACGCTCGGGTGTCTTACTTCCTGGAGGAGAAAGAGGTTAATGGGGCAGCTGTGTCCTCGTTAGTGTCTGTAAATTCAGAAAGTGGTGTCATTCACGCAGTGAGGTCGTTTGATTTTGAGCAAATCAAAAGCTTTGAATTCAACGTAACTGCTCGTGATGCCGGATCTCCTCCTCTGAGTTCAGTTGCTACAGTTAGATTAATAGTCCAAGACCAGAACGACAACCCTCCTCAGGTTCTATATCCAGTCCAGATTGGAGGCTCTCTTGTGGCTGAGATGGTTCCTCGTTCAGCAGATGTGGGCTATCTGGTCACTAAAGTGGTGGCTGTTGATGTGGACTCTGGACAGAACGCCTGGCTCTCCTATAAACTGCAGAAAGCCACAGACAGGGCGCTGTTTGAAGTGGGCTTACAGAATGGAGAAATAAGAACTATCCGCGGAGTCACTGATAAAGATGCTGTGAAACAAAGACTGACTGTGATAGTGGAGGACAACGGGCAGCCCTCTCGTTCAGCTACAGTCATTGTTAACGTGGCGGTGGCGGACAGCTTCCCTGAAGTGCTGTCTGAGTTCACTGACTACACACAAGACAAGGAGTACAATGACAACCTGACCTTCTACTTAGTGTTGGCTTTGGCTGTAGTTTCCTTCCTCTTCATCACGTGTTTAGTGGTTATTATATCGGTGAAGATCTACAGATGGAGACAGTCTCGCGTCCTGTATCACTCCAATCTCCCTGTGATTCCGTATTATCCACCACGTTACTCAGACACTCTGGGGACAGGGACTCTCCCACACGTGTACAACTACGAGGTGTGCAGGACGAATGACTCCAGAATGAGTGACTGTAAGTTCGGCACAGTCGGTAGTCAGAACGTGCTGATAATGGACCCCAGTTCTACAGGAACGATGCAGCGGATGCAAAGTGAGAAGAACATCCTGGATGAACCAGACTCTCCTCTAGAGGTTAGTTAAATAATGTGGCTACTTTTATATAGCTCCTAATTGTTGTTTTATTCTTCTGTTAGATCTGTTTAGTCCTTTTATTTAATAGACAATGCAAGTCATCATTCTCTACATATATAATAAACCGTATCAAGACAAAGTTCTCAAATATCAAATTTTATCAAAATAAAATTAAAACGTATGAAATAAAAAACGATGTTAAAATAAAAAGGACGGGAATAGCATGAGATGATATCGTATATCTTTCAGCATAATGAACAAAACCTAATTTCAAAAGCACTTTCTTGTGTTTTTTATTTTAATATTTTGAAGAAAACGTTCCTATATATTTTTATGAAGATATTCTTGAACATGTTCTATATTTTATATGTTGCTGCTGTTATTGTTTTCCTAAAATAATATTATAATTAAAAAACATTAACATATAATATAGTCTTATTTTAGCTCTAGATATTAAAGAATTTCTTACATTGCTATTAATTAATTGCTTTGAAGTTTTTCATGGGCTTCACTGACTCTTGTTTTATGATTACTGTAATTTTATTGACTATTTTGTGTTCATTGTGCCGTCCTTGCTAAACCTCTTTAATTACCACTCAAGTCCAAACTCATCCTTTTTACAATAAGCTGTTATTCACAAGTTCAGCACATTAGTGTTGGACAGCTCCTACTAATGTGACTGGTCTAGTAACACTGCTGTGTTTCCGTTTTTCTTTTTGTGGTTGCAGTATTTGAGTAGCATTTGATCGTACGTCAATTCCTCTGTTACCAAATCCCGTATTTAATCGTTTACGTTGCACTAACTTTACTTTTGTTGCCGTCGGTTCCCATGTTGGATCTAAAAAATAGTTTTTCTATGTGCATTTGAGTTATTTCCTCTACATGAACTCTAAGGGACGCTGTTGATCAGTAAAACAGATTATACTGTTCTGACTGTGCAGGGAGAGGTGGAGAGAAAGCGCAGGGGGAGAAACGCTTTATTTCATGTTAGGAGGTTTAACGGACACACACTCGCCTTTTCACGGCATTTTTTGTTTTATTAATTGTATGATTAATAGTACTAATAGTGCAGCCGAATTTCAAGTTGGTTGAACGTGGAATTTAAATCGTTTTTACATTTTGGATTTTACTCCTAACGACATGGGGAATAGCCAGAGACGATGCGGGAAATGGCTTTCTTGTTGGACACTTGCAACGCAGCTGTTCATTTTTGTCTTCGTGATTTCTACCGTCAACGGTCAGATTCGTTACTCAATTCTGGAGGAGATGAAGAAAGGTTCGCTTGTCGGGAATGTAGCACAAGATCTCGGTTTGGATCTGAAAAGGCTCCGCTCCGGTCGGGCCCGCATCGTGACCGGAGAAAACAATCAGTTAACCGAGCTAAAAACAGACAAAGGGATTTTAGTCGTGAATGAGAGAATCGACCGAGAAGAGCTTTGTGGAGACGTTACACCGTGCAGCTTCAGCTTCGAGATCATTTTGGAAAACCCAATTGAAGTGCACAGGGTGACAGTCGAGATATTAGACGTAAATGACCATGCGCCAACGTTCAAAAATAATGTAATTAATCTAGAAATCAGTGAATCTGCAACAGTGGGATCTTATTTCGATTTGGAAAACGCCTATGACCCCGATGCAGGCATTCACGGATTACAAAAATATGTTTTATCCTCGAATGATAATTTCGTTTTGAAGCAACACTCCAACGCTGATAGAAACAAGCTTGCAGTAATGATTTTACAGAAGCCACTAGACCGAGAGTTGAATCCACACCTCTCACTAAAGCTGATTGCAGTAGATGGAGGAACTCCACCACGATCTGGTACAGTAAATGTAGAGATCACTGTTATTGATGTAAATGATAATCGTCCTATTTTTAATCAATCTGTATACGTTGCTACGGTGTTAGAAAATGCACCAATTGGCACATATGTTACGACTGTGAATGCTTCAGATGCTGACAGTGGATCTAATGGCTTAATCACATATACGTTTTCTAACGTGAACGGGAAGACAGGCGAACTATTCGAAATCGATAGTTTAACTGGCAAAATAACGGTAGCTGATTATATCGATTTCGAAAAAGATAAAAAATATGAAATAAGAGTGATTGCCAAAGATCAGGGTAGCCTAAGTGATGCAACGCAAGTTATGATAGAAGTTGCTGACAAAAATGATAACGCTCCAGTTATAAATATAATGTCATATTCCAGCATGATATCAGAGGACGTCCCTGTAGGCACAACTATCGCCGTTTTTCATGTTAGAGATGCAGACTCTGAAAGAAACGGTCAAATTACCTGCTCAATGGATTATTATCTTCCATTTAAAATCCAGTCGTCTTTGACTAATTATTACAATTTGCTTTCAAATGTACCTTTTGATCGTGAAACAATTCCAGAATACAACATAACGATAACGGCAACTGACTCAGGGTCACCTCCTCTTTCTACTAAAATAACGTTACAACTGAAGATCTCTGATGTTAACGATAATGCTCCCCTCTTTACTAGGACAAGTTTTTCTGCCTTCATCATTGAAAATAATGTACCTGGTATGCCAATATTTTCTCTGAGTGCTCAAGACTCAGATTGGAATCAAAACGCAAGAATCTCGTACTTTCTAGAAGACAAACAAGTCGGTGGAGGCCCAGTTTCCTCTTATGTATCCATAAACTCCGAAACTGGGGCTCTTCATGCAGTGCGTTCATTTGATTATGAGCAAATCAAGCAGCTTTTATTCTCTGTCAAAGCGCAAGATGGAGGCTCCCCTCCACTCAGCAGCAATGTGTCTGTAACAATACTGATCCAGGATCAGAACGACAACCCTCCTCAGGTTCTGTACCCGGTGCAGACTGGAGGCTCTCTGGTGGCTGAGATGGTTCCTCGTTCAGCAGATGTGGGCTATCTGGTCACTAAAGTGGTGGCTGTTGATGTGGACTCTGGACAGAACGCCTGGCTCTCCTATAAACTGCAGAAAGCCACAGACAGGGCGCTGTTTGAAGTGGGCTTACAGAATGGAGAAATAAGAACTATCCGCGGAGTCACTGATAAAGATGCTGTGAAACAAAGACTGACTGTGATAGTGGAGGACAACGGGCAGCCCTCTCGTTCAGCTACAGTCATTGTTAACGTGGCGGTGGCGGACAGCTTCCCTGAAGTGCTGTCTGAGTTCACTGACTACACACAAGACAAGGAGTACAATGACAACCTGACCTTCTACTTAGTGTTGGCTTTGGCTGTAGTTTCCTTCCTCTTCATCACGTGTTTAGTGGTTATTATATCGGTGAAGATCTACAGATGGAGACAGTCTCGCGTCCTGTATCACTCCAATCTCCCTGTGATTCCGTATTATCCACCACGTTACTCAGACACTCTGGGGACAGGGACTCTCCCACACGTGTACAACTACGAGGTGTGCAGGACGAATGACTCCAGAATGAGTGACTGTAAGTTCGGCACAGTCGGTAGTCAGAACGTGCTGATAATGGACCCCAGTTCTACAGGAACGATGCAGCGGATGCAAAGTGAGAAGAACATCCTGGATGAACCAGACTCTCCTCTAGAGGTTAGTTAAATAATGTGGCTACTTTTATATAGCTCCTAATTGTTGTTTTATTCTTCTGTTAGATCTGTTTAGTCCTTTTATTTAATAGACAATGCAAGTCATCATTCTCTACATATATAATAAACCGTATCAAGACAAAGTTCTCAAATATCAAATTTTATCAAAATAAAATTAAAACGTATGAAATAAAAAACGATGTTAAAATAAAAAGGACGGGAATAGCATGAGATGATATCGTATATCTTTCAGCATAATGAACAAAACCTAATTTCAAATAAAGACTGTAACATAAAATTAATACTTTATTTAACTTACTTTGTTTTTTAAATGAATTGTACACATAAGGCGTTTGCTCCCATATATTATTAAATTTGCAGTGGCGTTTGAGAAAATCTCCTCGGAAAAAGGGGCGTTTGAATTTTGGTTGGTTGTTGCCGTTTATGCTGTTCTTTCCTTGTCTCAATCACATCGTGTGCCGCCAAATCACAGAGATTAAAGTTACGTAACTTATTGGTAGCATTGTTCAAGACATTGGTTTGGATGTACAAAGGCTGAGTTCTGATCGTGTCCGTATTTTGACTAAACAAAGCACGCGGTGCACGTAGCTGAAAACGGACGAGAGTGTTTTAACCGCCAACGACAGAATAGACAAGAGCAGCATGCGTAAAACTACGAGGTGGACAAGACCAGTGACTCAAGAAAGAGTGAGTTATTTCTCCTGAATCAGTTGAAGCAAAGTGCACATTTATACTGCTGTCCGGTGGTAATTTGAGTCACTGTCCTTGGTGCTGAAACGGTAAACGCAATCGTTTTGAAGTAGCTTTCTTAACAAGGTTCAAATGCAGGCCAACTAGGGGAACAAGAAATAAAACACCTAACGTAATCTTACTTTTTTAAATGCACAATGTCGCGTATATTAAAGTTAATTTCAACATTTTTGTTAATCATCATACGGATGAGGGGGGTATTTTCTTTTCAGTTGTATTCATGTAATTTTTTATCTATCTCCCTCTCATTGATTAAATTGAATATATAATATTATTTTTTTAACCAAAATCATATTTAATGTTGAAAAAAAATGTCGAGGTTTGAGAAAAAAATAATTAAAAAGCTGAAAATACACTCCCCAAAAAAACAACCAATGCTGATTATTTTTCCCTGGTACATTATTGTAATCTCAACGAAAATCCTATCAAATCGATAACGTTTTATAAATACGTTAAAAGGCTTTCATAGTATTTTCGTTGCATTTTTTAATCCTGTCTAAAAAAAAAACATGTGCTTCTTTATAATGATCTGAATTTAAATGTTTCCTGCAAGAACTGAATTCATTTAAAAGAGTTTGAATTGAATATTTGAAGCGATATTAATATTGTAGACTTTGATTCCATTTCCTTGGACGGGCTCTGAGCGCCGCTGTTGATACATCACTGACTAACAGTGTAAGCAGCGCAGCAGTCCACCCCTTTCAATCTGTTCAATGTTTCACTGCTCAGAGAAGACACGGTCAGTCTCCTCATGTGTTATAACGAAGCATTTATCGAGGATTTTCTCTACTTATGATATCGTTTCCTTTTTTTCAACAACGATCAGCTTTAGATGGAAAAGGATTACCGTTCATCTTCAGTTGGATTCATGATGGCGTTTATGTGGATAACCGATCTTAGAGGCCGAGGACAAGCACTGTTTGTCATTCTTTGTCTTTTTAAGCTGAGCTCAGTGACTGGACAGGCTCGCTATTCCGTGCCAGAGGAACAGGCAGAGGGATCTTTCGTTGGAAACATCGCTAGAGATTTAGGTTTGGATGTTGCGAGGCTTAAATCAGGTAAAGCTCGGATTATTACAAAGGGGAGACGACAGTACGTTGATTTAAACCGGGACAAAGGCACCCTCGTGATTAAAGAGCGAATCGACCGAGAAGAGCTGTGTGGAAAGACGACGCCCTGTAGCTTCAGTTTCGAAGTCATTTTAGAAAATCCCATCCAGCTTTATCGGGTCACCGTGGAGGTAATAGACGTCAACGATAACAGCCCGTCGTTCCCAAGGGATGAAATCAGTTTGAATATTGTTGAAAGTGTTGTAACGGGGACTCGCTTCTCATTAGAGAGTGCATACGACCCAGATGTTGGAATTAATGACATTCAAAAATACATCCTGAAACCCGTTGATCATTTTAAATTAGAAGTACAGAGCCAGCCTGATGGAGGGAAATCCATCGAAATGGTTTTACAAAACCCGTTAGACCGAGAAAAAGAGGAGACTCACATACTCGTGCTGATTGCATCAGATGGAGGAGAACCACACAGATCAGGGACAGTACGCATTCATATCACTGTGCTCGATATCAACGATAATGCGCCAGTTTGTAGTCAGCCGGTTTATAAAGCAGAAGTCAAGGAGAACTCCCCAGAAGGAACAGTAGTAACCACTGTGAGTGCCGATGACGCAGATAAAGGAGTCAATAGTGAAGTAACATTTTCCATAGCACATGTGACCAGAGAAGTGAAGCAGCTCTTTGAAGTAAATGACAAAACTGGAGAGATTCAAATTGCAGGTAAACTAGATTTTGAAAAATCCGAAACATATCAATTAAACGTTAAGGCTAGTGATCAAGGAGGACTGTCTGATACATGCAAACTTATAATTCAGTTGATTGATGAGAATGACAACATCCCTACAATACAGCTGATGTCATTTGCCAACTCGATATCCGAGGACTCTCCTCCAGGTACAACTATTGCTGTTATTAATGTGGATGACGTTGACTCTGATGGTAACGGTGTTGTCAAATGCTCCATTGACTCTGACATGCCTTTTAAAATGGAGTCTTCATTAACAGGATATTATACTATACTAACCGATAACGTCTTAGACAGAGAAAGTATCCCTGAGTACAACATCACTATAACGGTCTCTGACCAAGGCTCCCCTCCTCTGACTAGCAGGAAGCAAATCAATGTAAAAGTGTCTGATGTGAATGACAACCCTCCTGAATTTCACCAGTCAGAATACAGTAAGACTTTACCAGAGAACAACTCTCCTGGGTTTTCTGTGTTCACTCTCAGTGCTCGTGATGCAGACTCGGGCCAAAACGCTCGGGTGTCTTACTTCCTGGAGGAGAAAGAGGTTAATGGGGCAGCTGTGTCCTCGTTAGTGTCTGTAAATTCAGAAAGTGGTGTCATTCACGCAGTGAGGTCGTTTGATTTTGAGCAAATCAAAAGCTTTGAATTCAACGTAACTGCTCGTGATGCTGGATCCCCTCCTCTGAGTTCAGTTGCTACAGTTAGATTAATAGTCCAAGACCAGAACGACAACCCTCCTCAGGTTCTATATCCAGTCCAGATTGGAGGCTCTCTTGTGGCTGAGATGGTTCCTCGTTCAGCAGATGTGGGCTATCTGGTCACTAAAGTGGTGGCTGTTGATGTGGACTCTGGACAGAACGCCTGGCTCTCCTATAAACTGCAGAAAGCCACAGACAGGGCGCTGTTTGAAGTGGGCTTACAGAATGGAGAAATAAGAACTATCCGCGGAGTCACTGATAAAGATGCTGTGAAACAAAGACTGACTGTGATAGTGGAGGACAACGGGCAGCCCTCTCGTTCAGCTACAATCATTGTTAACGTGGCGGTGGCGGACAGCTTCCCTGAAGTGCTGTCTGAGTTCACTGACTACACACAAGACAAGGAGTACAATGACAACCTGACCTTCTACTTGGTGTTGGCTTTGGCTGTAGTTTCCTTCCTCTTCATCACGTGTTTAGTGGTTATTATATCAGTAAAGATCTACAGATGGAGACAGTCTCGCGTCCTGTATCACTCGAATCTCCCTGTGATTCCGTATTATCCACCACGTTACTCAGACACTCTGGGGACAGGGACTCTCCCACACGTGTACAACTACGAGGTGTGCAGGACGAATGACTCCAGAAAGAGTGACTGTAAGTTCGGCACAGTCGGTAGTCAGAACGTGCTGATAATGGACCCCAGTTCTACAGGAACGATGCAGCGGATACAGAGTGAGAAGAACATCCTGGATGAACCAGACTCTCCTCTAGAGGTTAGTTAAATAATTGAGCTTCGTATATACGTCTTCACTTGTCTTTCACGGTTTATCTGCGCTATAGTAAAGTGCTGGGGAGAGGTTTTGCATTTTCAGGACCATGGACAGAAAGTCTACATTCTCAGTTATTAGTCGGTTTTATTTCATGTAACATTGATTTCACTTTTACTTTGTTGCATCTCATGTTAAAGTCAACCCTTATGTCCTTTAACGGTAAGACTTATCTGAACCTTTTTCACACTGATTTGGGCTTTATTTCTCAATTAAGGTGGATGGCAATCTTTGTCACAAAGTCACATTTGTATTATTGTATTTGCTTCCGTCACTTTCACTGTCACTTCTCTACTGTCCAATATTTTTTTTAAGTAAATTTTTTTTTTGGTTCCTTTTAGATGGTATTTTGGCAATGTTTTCATAGATCAATCACCTTGGTATAGTTTCTGGTGAAGTTATTTACTGATATTCCAAATGAACATTTTTTTCTTAGATTTATTACATTTGAGTTCAGATTAAACATGCAGTGCATACTTTTTTAATGCATATTAAACACATGGTTCAATAATGTGTTTTTTAAGAATATAGTTTATTATATGGTATACTTGTCACATTTATATCTGCATTAAAAAGAAAATAGGGTGGTCATTGACCATCTTTAAACGTTCTTCTTTAGGGCTCATTGGTCTGAAGGTCATGTTTGACTCGTCCATTTCCTTTCGAGAAGTGTTTGGTGTATTGAGTATTTCAAGCTTTCGGTAGTTATTTTCCCCTTCCTTTCTAATTAATACTAATTTTTTATTCTCACAATTTTGTTCAATTATGTTTAATATCTCTTACGAAACATTTTAATGCACATGATTCAGACAAAAAAAAATCCTAGTCATAGTTTTATAGAATCATCTCACCTTGTTGCTAATGTTGTTATTAATGTTCATCAAGTTACCTATTAGTAA